TGCTACACATCCTAACATCCAACTTTAGTTATCTACAAAAACAAACTCGATTCCTTGAACAGTTACTTCATAAAAATATTTCTGCTATCTGTACTAACATTGACCACTTTGCACTTAACCTTATACCTTTTCTATATACTTCCTGTCTGTTGTGAGTCTCAAATATTTCCCTTTTAAGTTGATTTTCTTCATTTTCTTGGAAGTGCCGAATGTTTTTATATTCCTTTGGCAAATTCGCTAAGTAGACCTTTCCACAAATATTTCCATCCTGATTCAGTTGGTTGATGAGTCCAAATTTCTTTTTATTTTTCTTTCTTTTCCCCTTCTTTTTTTGCAGTTTTTTCTTTTCTAAATGGCTTGTACTTCGGATTTTTTGTCCTTCCTTTTTTTTGCTTTTTCCCAGTTTCCAGAATCTCTCTTGTCAGAGCTAATTCTTTTTTCACTACTTCTATCTGTGCGTATTGCAACTTGGGCTGTGTTTCTTGCCGTTCTACAGCCCGTGTCATCTCCTGTGAGCCGGTTTGAAATTGTGACTCTTGAGTTGGCTCTTTAATGTCTTTGTCTGTGTCTGCTACATAACAAGGTTGAGGATTTTCAAAAGCTTTATTCCATACCAATTGTAGTGCTTTAGCTAGTTCTTCACTCAAGCTTTTTTGAAACTGTTCCGATCTAAGTTCCTCTTTAAATTTCCGAATTGCTTCCTCGCAAATAGACGCCGCCGCCATTTTCTCACTCAGCTCCACCCGTCAAAGGAGGTACTTTTTAATGATAAATAGTCCTTTACGCTTCTAAAACAACCAGTTTTACTATTTTTTTCGAGTAGAACACCTATTATTTCCAGCAACAGTTTGACTCTTACCCTCTCGAGCTTTTTCTCTAAGTTCCCTTGTACCTGTTCCGGCCGTTTTCTTACACCAGTAGGGAAAATTCCAACGGTATACGGTAAAGTTCCCTTTCGAAAATAGTGCATATCAACAAATATCCATCGTGTGCCATGGAAAACCGAATGTTCAAAAAACAAAATAATCCACAAAGTTAAAAGTCCGGATGGTCGTTGCTTGAGGTACAGGAAGCCCTGCCTCGACCGTTCCGCGGTCCCGCTTCAGGGCACTGACGGACACCTCCCCGTTTGCCGAATTCGGGGAGGGGCCGCCACAAGCCCTCTGCTGCCAACCCTCCCTCCAGGAGAGTCGGGAGGAGCCCACCCAGGACACCCGGGGGTCTCCTAGGAGCCGCGGAGGCTCCGGCGAGGCGCAACGCGCCCGCCCGATTCAACGCCGTACCGGAAGTCTCCTTTGGCTACTGTTGGCTGTCTGGTTTTGAGCAAATGTTGTGTTGGATCTGGGGATCTGGTCCACCAGTGGCCACCTCTTGGATCAATGAAAGGGTATTTTCATATGTGCGTGTGCGTGTGTGTATAAAACCTATCACTAAACTCAGCTGCAGTACCAGAAGACTGGAGAGTAGTGAATGTGACACCAATTTTTAAAAAGGGATCCAGAGAGGAACCAGGAAATTACAGGCCACTCAGCCTAATGTCTGTCCCACGCAACAGTAGAAACTGCAATCAACAATAGAATTGTTAGGCATATAGAGGGATAAAACCTGCTGAGGGGAAATCAGCATGGCTTCTGCAAAGGGAAGGCCTGCCTCACCAGCCTTTTGGAGTTCTTTGAAAATGTGAATAAGCATGTAGACAGTGGTGATATGGTAGATATTATATACCTGGACATTCAAAGAGATAGCTAAGTGGGAGCATGATAGAGGTTTATCAAATTATGCATGGGGTGGAGAGAGTTGACAAAGGGAACTTTTTCTCCATCTCCCAAAAGACTAGAACTAGAGGACATCCAGTGAAACCGATGGGCAGTAGATTCAGGATGGACAAAAGGAAATACTACTTTACACAGAGAGTGTTTCAAATGTGGAATTTGCTGCCAGAGGATGTAGTGATGGACACAGGAATAGACAGCTTTAAAAGGGGGGATTAGATGGATTCATGGGGGATAAGTCTATCAATGGCTGCTAGCCATGGTGACTGAGGGGAGCACCCACATTCAGAGGCAGTCAACCTCTGATTCCCGGAGCCGAGAGGCAAAATGAGGGGAAGGCCTCAGCCTCTATGCCCTGTTGTTGGGCCTCCAGAGGAACGAGTTGCCCCATATTGGATGCCCTTGAGTTCTAGTATTTTGGGACAGGGAGAAAAATTTTCTCTTTTTCAACTCTACCCCATTCATAAATTTCTGGGGGGGGCCCTTTCCCCTCACCCTCGAGATGTTCTTTAAATGCACCTGCTGAAGTCCTACAAGCAAAGCATGCCGTGCTTCCACGATTTGGGGCACTCCTTGGTGTGTGACTCTCTCCTGCCTGGAGGGGGTGCTTTTGGTCACGTCTGGGAAACTTTCCACTGCAGGAGAATGCAGGAGGCCAAGAGCTGAACTACCCCCGCCCCTCCCCAGGAGCTAAGAAATGTAGCTGGGAAGGGCAGTGTTAGGCTTTCTCTGTGAGCAACAAACAGTAAGAAGTTTGAAAAGAGCCCGTGTTTTTTTAAAGTTCTATTTTCCCGGTGGCCTTTTCCCAAGAGCATCTGAGCTGCCGTCTAGCGAGTCAGGCCAAGAGGATTGGTCTCGTCTCCTCTGACTGGCAGGGGCTTTCCAGGGTCTCAATAAAGATCTTTCACATGAGCCACGACCGGATCCTTTTGGCTGCAGATGCCGGGGACCGAGGTCCTGTGTGCCAAACTGGTGGTCTCCAGTTGGGGTTGCCCGCCTCAAGGTTGTAAGCAGTCTAACCTGGGAGTACTGGGTTTGATTCCTCATTCCTCCACTCGCAGCTGCTGCTGGACCTTGGGTCAGTCACAGGTTTTCTCACAGCTGTTCTCTCAAGGGCAGTTCTGGAAAGAGCTCTCTCAGCCTCACCTACCTTACAGGGGGAGGGAAAGGAGTTTGTAAGCCACTCTGAGACTCCTTCGGGTAGTGAAGGGCGGGGTACAAATCCAATCTCTTCTTCTTCGTCAGGAAGCTATTTTTCTCCAGGCCAGATTGGCCCAGGGATCTTGGAGGTTTTTTGCCTTTCATAGAATCATAGGATGCTACAGTTGGAAGGGACCTTGCAGGTCATCTAGTCCAACCCCCTGCATTCTGCAGGAGCATAGTTGAAAGATAGCCCTACATACCTACAACATACCCGAAAGATGGTCGTCCAGTCTCTGCTTGAAAACGTCCAGCAAAGGAGCATCCACCACCTCCTGAGGCAGACTGTTCCATGGCTCAACCACTCTTACAGTTAGGAAGTTTCTCCTGATATTTAGCTGGTAGCGACTCCCTTGTAATTTCCACCCATTAGATCTCGTCTTGCGATCCGGAGCAAGAGAGAATAGATCTGCTCCATCTTCTACATGACAATCATGTCCCCTCTAAGCCTTCTCTTTCCCAGGCTAAACTGACCCAACTCTTTCAGCCTTTCCTCATAAGACTTGGATTCAAACCCTCTCACCATCCTGGTTGCCCTCTTCTGGACATGCTCGAGCTTGTCATCATAAATTAATCATAAATTAATTCCCCAAACAGAAAGAAAATCAAAAATATAACTGCAAGTCTATGTGGTAAGAAATTTTAGAAATATCGAAAGTTTGGGTTTAAAAATGAACCAAATAGTTTATAAAATCCATCTATCTGTCTCTGTCTTTGCTAGCAAAACAGCAGACAGGCTTTGCCTGCCTCACTGAACCAAACCCCATGATTCTTCGCAAGCCCTTTGTTCTAGGCAGAACATGCCTCTCAGTCACTTACTCAATGGTCTACCCATTCCATTCCCAGGATCTGAATCAATGTAAATTCCCATAGGTGTGAGACCCACAATACCCATAGCAATAAAGTGCTTCTGGCAGGAAAGGCCATTTGGGCAGTGAAGGCAAACTGAAGGCAAACTGACTCCTGAGATACAGAGATTCACACTCCCCACTTCCATCTCAGAGATAACATCAAAGAATAGTTTATCTTCAGTGTTGGGAACACCAGGAAAGAAAACAATGACACTGTGCTGGTCCTGTAAACAAGATGTAACTTTTGTTGTGTGAGACGCAAGGAAGCAATTTCCTGTAAAATAATCTCAACTTCAAAATGTTAATTTACAACTGTAATTTAATGATTGGGGGACCTCTTTGATCATTTGGTGTAAATGATAGTCAGTCTCAACAGACCTTCGCTGACTCTTGAAGGAATCGGGAGAGGCATTGCTCTCCAGAGACTTTAGAAGTTCAGCCCGGAAGGCCTTTTGTTTTTCTGCATGCTTTGGGGGGGATAAAACTTTGCCTGCATGTTTATTGTCTGTGTTTTCACTATCAGCATTTAGGAAATAGGATTGTACTGTGTTGGCAGCTGGCATAGTGTCTTGCTAGCCACCTTGCCTGATAAACGTTTGGATGTTTTTTTCTTAATAAAGATAAGTTTTATTGTAAGAAGACACCCTTGCTTGAGTGTCTCTGCCAGCGCTTGGTGGTTTCCAAGCTTGCACATTTGCCTTTGGTAAGGAGGCAGCACTCAGGGGACGCACAAACCAAAGGAGAGTGTGGGTGGCACGGGTGAACACTTTCACAAACACGTGCAGCCTCACATTTTCTCACAACGGTCTACAGACAAAGATATCTGAGGGGACTCTCGAAAGCTTGTATCCAGAAAATCTTGTGGGTCTCTAAAATGCTACTGGACTCAAATTGAGCAAGTCTATGGGCAGGCATCTACAAAAGTTTCCAAGGATCTAAAAATATGTCCATGCACAAGTATTATCTATATGCCATACAGTCATGTATTGAGAAGACTGTAAATTCCTGAATCCACTGGATTACTGGAGGTGGGCATTCATCTTTCCAGTGCTTTTGGCAACAGTAAAGGCAAGGTTGGCCCGTTTTCATTGACCGCCAGTTAGGAGACAGGGAATAAATAGTTTAAAAGTACGTTAAGGTGATGCTGACCCTGCAGCAGAGGAGGTGGGCCTGGCTTTCAGCCTTGATCTGAAGTGACCCTTCGGGGCCAGTGGAGCTTCCTGCCAATTCCCTTGCGCACTTCCTTCATCTTGACACAGTACAGCACCGGGTTCAGCAAGGGCGGGGCCAGGAAGTGAAGGTAGGATAGCAGGACGTGGAGGAGGGGAGGGGAACGGACGGTGAGGTGGTTGATTAAGGACAAGGCCAGCATTGGGACGTAGAAGAGCAAGACCACCGAGATGTGGCTGGCACAGGTGTTGAGGACCTTGCGGCGTTCTTCCAGGGAGGTGATGCTCAGAACAGTCTTCAGGATCCAGATGTAGGACAAGATGATGAGCACTGGGTCGAGGCCCATGGTGGAGAAGACCACCAAGAGGCCGTAGATGCCATCTCTGCTGGACTTGCGGCAAGCTAGCTTCTGGACGTCTGGATGAAGGCAGTATGAGTGGGAAAGGACATTAGCCCGGCAGTAGGTCAGTCTCTTGAGGAGGAAGGGGATGGGCACATGCAAGGCCACGCCTCGGATGGCTATCCCCAGGCCAACGTAGGCCACCCGGGAGCCAGTCAAGATGGAGGCATATCTCAGGGGGTTGCAGATGGCCACAAAGCGGTCAAAAGCCATGGCCAGAAGCACCGAGGATTCCATGATGGAGAAGGAGTGGATGAAGAAGAGCTGGGAGAAGCAAGCGTCCATGGAGACCTCCCTGGACCCAAACAGGAAGACACGGAGCATCGTCGGTAAGAGGGCTGTGGACAAGCCCAGGTCACAGAAGGCGAGCATGCAGAGGAAGAAGTACATGGGAGAATGGAGGCTCTTCTCTGTGAGGACAACCGAGAGGACCGTCCCGTTCCCCAGCGCGGACAAGAAGAATGTGGTGCAGACTGGGAGGGCCAGCCAGTAGGGGGCAGACTCCAGTCCAGGGAACCCCATCAGAAGGAAAGAGAGTCCAGGGGAGGCCGTGATATTGTTCATGGCTGATGGGAGATCTCACTGAGGTCTTTCCTCCTAGAAAGGCAAATGAGAAGCAATGGGCACAACAAGATATCCCGGGAAACTCACCAGAGACACACTCTCAGTACACGATTATCACCAGCAGTGTTCCCTCTAAGCTGAGTTAGTGTGAGCTATCTCACAGTTTTTAGCCTCCAGCTCACACTTTTTTGTCTTAATTCAGGAAGGGATGGCTCCAGAGCAAACGAGTTTATGCAGCAGCCAAGTCGCTCGCTCACAACTTTAATGCCAGAAGCTCACAAAGTAGATTTTTTGCTCATGAGACTCCATGACAGCCCTTCAAATACTTGAAGACTGCAATCATGTCCCCTCTAAGCCTTCTCTTTCCCAGGCTAAACGTGCCCAACTCTTTCAGCCTTTCCTCATAAGACTTGGATTCAAACCCTCTCACCATCCTGGTTGCCCTCTTCTGGACACGCTTGAGCTTGTCATCATAAATTAATCATCAATTAATTCCCCAAACAGAAAGAAATTCAAAAATATAACTGCAAGTCTATGTGGTAAGAAATTTTAGAAATATAGAAAGTTTGGGTTTAAAAATGAACCAAATAGTTTATAAAATCCATCTATCTGTCTCTGTCTTTGCTAGCAAAACAGCAAACAGGCTTGGCCTGCCTCACTGAACCAAACCATTTAGCCAACAGACTTGGATTCCAACCCTCTCACCATCCTGGTTGCCCTCCTCTGGACACGCTCGAGCTTGTCAACATCCTTCCTAAAATGTGGTGCCCAAAACTGGATTCCAGGTGAGGCCTGACCATAGCAGAATAGAGTGGAACTACCACCTCCCGTGATCTGGATGCAATGCTTCTGTTAATGCTGTTGCAAAGGATGGTAAATCCTTGGCTCACCCATGAGGAAGTCTAGCATGAAGCGCCAGAGGAAGACATCTGGCCCTTTGCTCATTCCAAACGTATATGATTCCCAAACACAGTCTTTAAGCTATGAGGTGCAGCTGCAATCCCCACCCCCTAAGGGCCAGACCAGCTCTGGTTACTCAGACTGGAGCTCTCGTGGGGAAAAAAAGCCCTGACATGTGATCCGCACTCTTTACCTCCTGGCTCGACTTGCACTTCGGAGGCTTCCCAGGGGTCTAGCAATGGTGAGGAGGCTCGGCCAGATGGGACACTGGGTTGGCTGGGAGTCCCTGGGTCACATCCCCTGGGGGGAACCTCCAAAGGCAGCCGAGAAGAGCTGCTTTTCCAGACTACCCAACAAAGAGTGAAAGGAAAGGGCAGAACGTACTCTGGTGAGGATCTTTGGGGGAGGGGGAGTGGATCAGCCTTCCTATCTCTTTACTGGGATGGCGGGGGAACAGGGAGGAGAACGCCTTGCCTAAGGCCACCTGGTGAGCAGAAGAAAAGAGAAGGCTTTTGTTGAATTAGCTGATTTAAGGAAATGTGGAGCAGTCTGAATACAGGAACTCTTTCAGTCGTATTTGGAGAAGGCAGGATGAAGAACAGGAAGGGGGCATGGCTCAGAGAGAGCATCTGTTTGGCAAGCAGAAGTTCAACCCCTAAGCATCTCCAGTTAAAAGGACCAGCCTGTAGCAGATGTGAAACACCTCAGTGGCTCAATGGCCAAGCAGAAGGACCCCAGTTCAATCCCCAGCATCTCCAGGTAAAAGGACCAAGCAGGGGGTGATGTGAAAGACCTTGGTGGCTCAGTGGGAGAGCCTCTACTTGGCACGCAGAAGGTCCCAGGTTCAATTCCCGGCATCGCCAGTTAAAAGGACCTTACAGGAGGTGATGGGAAAGACCTCCACCTGAGACCCTGGAGAGCCGCTGCCAGTCTGAGTAGACACAGTACTGACCCTGACTGACCAAAAGTCTGATTCGGCAGACGGCAGCATCATGTATGTTTCTGCGTGTCCACGTGACTCTGAATTGGAAGGAAGAAAGTGGATTCTGTAGGAAAAGGAGAAGTGGATTCTGTCTGAAGAGGCAGTATATAAATCCTCTAAATAATTAAAATAATAGGTGCTTATAAATCCTTGGGATCAAATGGCTAGCCATTGTAGGGCTTTTTTTTAAAAAAACATAAATACTAAATGGAATTCTGCTTCATTTTCACTGTATAGGAGTGCCTTTTATTCTGTTATAATTATTCTGTTATAATTTATTCTGTTATAATTGCTTGGCTGTGTCCTTGCCGATCCGTTCCCCTAATCGTGGCCCTTTTCTCCTGTGTAGGGGAGCCTGCAGCCCACACCAAGGTCAGCCTCCTCGGGCAGGGGAAGATCCGTCATTGGAGAAAAGATCCGCGGGATCTGATCCGATCAGTAATGCAGCTATGTCGCGCTGACCTTGAGAAGACCCTTTGCAGTTTGGGTGCAGAATCCTGTAAAGATGATGAAAAGCAGGGGCAGGGGAGGCCCAGAGGGGGTCGGAACACCTTTTGTCTGAAGCAACAGGCAAGACTGTCTGGATTATAACATGGCATGGGGCTTAGAAAGCAAGCTACCAGTACAGAGAGAAGGAAGAGGAATCGTTTGCTTTGTCCTGAAACTTAAAACTGCTTAGCAATACATTGGAGGCTACTTAAATTACTGTCACTACTGTAATGCACCTTTCAGGTCTGCCCCTGAAAGCTCCGGCTGGTACAGACCGCCGCAGCTCGATGCCGATCGGAAGCTATGCAAAGTATGCGTATATTGCAAGTATTCTGCTTCAGCTCCGTTGGTTAGCGGTCTGCTGCGAGTTTTAATGCAAGGTCCTGGTTTCCACCTGCAAAGCCCTCCGTGGGCTAGAACCGGGATATCTGCGGTGCTCTCCTGATGCTCCGCTGCGACAGCCTTGCGTATCTGAGCAAAGGCTTCCGAAGGTGCTGCCCTTCAACTGGGGAGATTGGCAGCTGCCTGGGAGTGCAGGTCCTCATTGTGGTGGCCCCCACCCGGTGGAACAGCCTGCCCGAGGATGTCAGGAGGGCCTCCCACACTCCATTCTACAGAACTGGTAAAACAAAATTATTCGGGAGGGCACTTTGATACATGTCTGTGGAATGTAAAGGTATATCTGTATCCCTATCCCCCACGAATATTGTTAGTCCAATTGTCAAAGAGTAACTGTAAATTGCTCTGAGCCCGCAGGCGTGTGGGAAAGAGCGATCAATAAATCGAAAGTATTATTATTATTATTATTATTATTATTATTATTACTATTACTATTATCATCATCATCATCATCATCATCTATTTTGGCACGTGTGTTGCGCTGTTCTATAATCCTGTAGCCCATCTTGATTACATTGTTTATCGTTTGTAATATAGAATTACAGGGCACCGTTTCACGAACTTGTAATTCCTGCCCTCTGTCTGTATGACGCTGTGTTTTCATGCAATGTTCTCTTAAGTTTGTGAGCAGCGTTCCCTCTCAGCTGAGTGAGTGTGAGCTAGCTCACGGGTTTTTTAGCCTCCGGCTCACACATTTTTGTCTTGGCTCAGGAAGGAGGGCTCCAGAGCAAACTAATGTATGCAGCAGCCAAATCATTCACTCTAATACCGGTAGCTCACAACTTGAATGCCGGCAGCTCACAACGTAGAATTTTTGCTCGCAAGACTCCATAGCTTAGAGGGAGCATTGTTTGTGAGTGGTGTGTGTGTTGCACTGTCCTTCCTGCGTTGTTATTGAGTTTTTAATCTGCCTGAAAACATAATGAGAAATGAGAAATGAAGCAAATAAATGGATAAATAAAGACAGAACCTCAAACCGTATGTCGCCTGTGGAATTCATTGCTTCTGGGTCTTGTGTTGGCCATTGGCATGCAGTCTAAGAAGGATTAGAATAAATTGTGTTGTGTAAAGCGCCGCCAAGTCGCAGCCATCTTGTGGCCCCCCCAGCAAGGGGCTTTCGAGGCAAATGAGAAGCAGAGGTGGTGGGCCGTGGCCTTCCTCTGCAGCGTCTTCCCGGGCGGTCTCCCATCCAAGTACTGACTGGGCTATATCATGCCTCCCCTCCCCACCTGGAATAAACTAATGGGGGATAAATATATGGGTGGGGGTGGAAAAGAAGAAGAAGAAGATGAGCAGAGATTGGATTTATGCCCCACTCTTTACTACCCGGAGGAGTCTCAGAGTGGCTCACAAACTCCTTTCCCTTCCCCTCCCCACCACAGACACCCTGGGGCTGGGAGGTAGGTGGGGCTGAGAGAGCTCTGGATAGAAACGGCTCTTTTTCAAGGACAGCTCTTATCAGAACTAGGGCTTGCCCAAGGTCATCCAGCAGCTGCAAGTGGAGGAGTGGGGAATCAAACCCGGTTCTCCCAGATTATAGTCTGCGCTCTTCACCACGACACCACACTGGCTCTCTTGGAGCCTGGGAGGATTCTGCTGAGCAGCCAGATTCCCTCGCCCCCCCCCCCCCCGCCCCACTACCACAGCCAGGATTTTGTCTCAGTGCAGAAAGAGAAGCCAGGATTCTGAGGATGATGACTCGGCTACTGTGGAATCGAGCCTTTTAGAATCAAAGCAGAGAGGCTGCTGCAGATCTTAGCCTCAGAGTGTGACAACAGCAGGCTGAGAAAGGACGGGGGGGGGGGGGAATATAAATTTTCCAGTAGGTGGTAGGCATGGCACTGGAAATACTTACCTGGGTTTGGCCAGTAAGCTAAAGGCTTCCCTCACTCGAAAGTCAGTCGGGTCCAACTCTAGGGTTGCTGCACTCATCTCCGTTTCCAAGCCAAAGAGCCAACGCTGTACGAAGATGTTTCCGTAGTCACGTGGCCGGCATGACTAAACACCGAGGCGCACGGAATGCTGTTACCTTTCTACTGAAGCTGTACCTATTTATCTACTTGCAATCTCTTGCTTTTGAACTGCTAGGTTGGCAGGAGCTGGGACCAGAGGCGGGAGCTCACTCCGTCACGCAGCACTCGGGTCTCGAACTGCCGAACTACAGACCTTCCAGCCTGCAGTTCAGCGTCTCAACCACTTGAGCCATCGCAAACTGACTCCAATTTGTAGG